AGCCACACTATTTTATTTATTTATTTCATTTGTACCCCGCCCATCTGGTCTATATGACCACTCTAGACGCTATTCCAAGACATCTATTCAGAGCACGTTACCATAGTCTCTCGAGACTGAAGGATGCCTACACATGTTGTATGTTATTTATAAAGACTGCAGAAAGTAATCAGAATGACCTACTCTTAAATAATTTACATTCCAAACAGTGGTCTCCTTTAGCCCCTGCGTATAGAACTGTTAAAGAAAAAAAAGGGGGGGTGTTTTTGTTTCTTTAAGCCTACATCTGTGGCACAAGATGGATGAAGTAGGAAGTATTATGGGGTATAAATGGAATAAATAAATAAATAAATAAATAAATAAATAAATAAATAAATAAATAAATAAATAAATAAATATATTAAAGCCCCCATTTCTGTGAGTAGTGGCCCCAGTCCAGGCTGAGGACCTATACACCTACTTTAGTGTAAAGAAAAACAAGTACAGCACAAAAAGTAACCCTGACTTATTCTACCATTGCTATTTTAATTGCAAACATTAATTGCAATGGAACTACTTTTGATTTAATTACAAATATTTCTCCTTCTTGTTCCTGTTTTGTAATGCGGCGCAAAGCTACAGTTCATGAGATGTAGAAGCAGCCTGAAGATTTTAGAATTTAAAGGGATGGACATATTCATTATATTTTCTTCTAAGGAACATTTCAGTGGGGTTACCATCAGTGACCCTGGCAGTTTTATTTTTCGTTCCCAGCAAGATCTTTTTCATTTTAAGTTAAAGCAAATTTACTTAATTAAGATGGTAGCTGGAGTGTCAGTGGTTTTTGAAAACTGATCAAAGTACTTAGCGGTTTTCACTGTGTGATTAGCTGGCTGATATTGTGAATCATTATATGTAAATGAAAAAAAACTAATTTATATTTATTGTATCCAGCCCCTCCATCTCCAGAAAAATATGAGGAAAAGAGATTTAAAATAATTAAAGGGTTTAGAAAAAGGGACACAAAATGATCCCTGTGCTTTGAGGAATATGTCTGCCCCTTGCTACTGAAGTGATACTCAAAGACAACAGGATCTGCCCTAGGATGCTAAAATTAAGATTAGTATATCACATTTTTTCCATCTATACTTAATATACATTGCCTCCTTAGGTTACGGAAGGAAGACTAAAGTTAACTGTTCAGATGGATTGCTTATCATAGAACAGTTGAGTTGGAAGGGGGCCTCTAAGGCCATCAAGTCCAGCCCCCCGCTTAATACAGGAATCCAAATCAAAGCAGATCTGACAGAGGGCTGTCCAGTTTTCTCTTGAATTCCTCCAGCATTGGAGCGCTCTGCCTCAATTTTTGTTTGTTTACATTTTGATTATATTTCTTTGACATATATCATCTCCAAAAGCAACCATTTAAAAAGAAGAAGAGAAGAAACACAGACCCTGATTTCAGGCTTACAAATGTCAACAACTACAAAGGCACCCAAGAGAAGGGAATGAGCACGGTGACTACCAGCTTTGCTCATAGTGTTATCTGGGTGTCTCTTAAGAATGTTTGGATATGGGGCTTCGTCTTCTTTCACAAAGTTGGATTGGGTGATCTTCAGTAGTGGACCAATGTATAGAACAAGGATGGGTAATGATGCCCCTCCAGATATTTTTGGACTGAAACTTCCTTAATGCTATTAACTAGTTAAACTAGTTACTAGTTAAACTTCCGTTAACTATGTTGGCTATGGCTAATAGGTTATAGATCAAAACCATGGCACTCACAAATCTACACATTTTTGGTTCCGTGCAGATGGTACTCAGTGCTCTAAATCAGCCATTCTCAACCTTTTTTGACCACAGCTCTTTTAGGTCCTCTTTTCCGTTTCCAGGGCCTCCTGTCAAACAAGGAATGACTTTGGCTGTGGGCAAACAAGAATACAGCATAAACAGATGGATTGGGTCCCCCCTTCAAACATGGCAGAGCCCCCCCCCCAGGGGGCCATATGGTCCCTATGAAGAATGGCTACTCTAAATCATCATCAGGGAAATGGTGATGAGAGTTCCTGCACACACCCTTCATGTTTTTCTTGGTCAACCTACACTTTTCTTTAACGCAGAGGATGTTTTTTCATGAATGTGTCTTGTCTTCTTGATGCCTGCTGATGATCACAGGACACAAGTACACCATTTTCCATTCAGAATTAGAGCTCCTTGATTCATCCTATGCCATCTATACATGTTCCTTTCAAAAGCCATTTCCCAAGGTGCCTGTTTTGCGCCTGTTCTTGTGAACTGTGCTTGCAATCTGGGCAGTTGTCAACTTTGGCCTGTTTTGGAAAGTTATCAAGCTGCCATGTCTTTTGTCTTCTTCTTCGCCTTGGTGGTGTAACAGATTTTTCAGTAAGGCCACTCAATAAGCCAAAGAAGTCCACATGCATGGGACTGAAGAACAAACTTTGCACAAGCTGTTCCTGCTAGCAGCACTCCCTACATGGTTGTTTTGCAAAAAAAAGCTTCTCTTCCAAGAGCATCTTGGTCTAAGAGATGGCTGGCCTGTGAGTTGTAGGGCTAATTAAGCACTTGCCAGTGGTTTGCCTTGAGGCTATGATTTTCCTTTGCAAAACGCAAAAGCATACACTCATACAGTATGCACACACACAAATACAAAAAACACCACAACTTTGTATCATATAATATTTGCTAAGGGCCAATTTCCGTATTACACCTTCTAGGTGGAGATCGATTTAAGTCTGCCCATGTGGTGACTATTATCACATGGCAGGGAGAAAATGATGGCAGCCACATAATAAAATGGTCTCCGTTCAGTGGTAGTAATGTGTGCCTCAGTCAGTAGCATCTCAGAGCATTTCCAGTAAGAATGGATAAGAAATTTGTTCATATTTCAAATGGAAAGAAGGAAGACCAATACATATGAAAACCCTTATATTTGTATCCAAGTAGCCTCTGTTTTCCCAGTTTGTGCCCATCTCTAGATAACACCTAAAAAAACAATGTAGTGTCTTTTTCTCTGAATCACTTTGCTAGATATGTTCCTGATTCAAGAACCTGTTCAAAACTTACAACTTTTGCTCCTTTGGACAACCCACTCATATCAGGAATGGGTGGTGGAATGTTGTTTTGACTAGCCATACAAGCTCAGATTTTTTTTTTGGTTAGTCAGCAAATAACTGGCTCTTGCAAGACAGTGGGATTTTCATGGGAAGAATGACAGAGAGAAGCGCAAACATAACTCTTCTCCCTCTGTTATTTTTCTACTCAAAACCATCCCAGCCGTATTTCCACCCTTTTCTTCTCTTCGAAAATTACTTTTAGCCCTCTTCCTGTCTGGGGAAGGGTTGAGCATCCCTTCCCCCAGTCAGCTCCATGGTTCCTTCCCTCTGCCCTTCAATTTTTAAAATGTAGTGGAGGGGAAATGAAATTAGATGCTGCATTTTATCTAGATCCAGTCCTCAACCTGTGCTGCATTATGGCCCTGGGTATTACACTATTACTTATGTGAGATAGTAAATGTATTTGTATTCTGCTCTTTGAAAAAAACCCTTCAGTTTATGAATGTGGGATATTTTGCTTCTGTACCCATGGTTCAGACCACTAGGAAATGGCCCAATAAGTGCTCCACAATATAGTGACCACAGTGGGAGTAGGAAAAGGGATAACAAGCTTTCCATAGCAAAGGGCAGTCAGATTGTTGACAAAACCCCTGTCAGCAGTCAAGCTGGTTGACAAGATACCCTCTTGTGTTCACTGCCATTCACACTTGTCAAAAAACATGACAATTGCTTTGTGTTTGGGTGCAGAGTGGCTAACTAATCAATAAAGCAGTCAACTTACGGGATTTTCCCTTGCTTGGGAAGGGACGTCTCCTGCATCTGTGCCAAATTTGGTGTTGATCTGAAGTCCAGTGTCAAAGTGACAGGATTTTTTGGGGGGGCTGCCCCTGTTTAAAATTGCCTTGTTGAATGTTGATTTGCTCTGCTGCACAATAATTAACAGAGTAGCTTTGCTCCAGGACTGATAATTAAAAGGTTTGGGAATGGAGGACTCATGAACAAGATAGAAAATGGTGGTTCCCTTTATATATCATGCGCCTTATTTCATCCCAGAAGACTGAAGGTATATTTTCCTTCCTGAGATTTCCATAGCAAGTGTCTATTGCCTGAAGCAACAGAAAGACTGGGTAGAAAATGAATAAATAAAAGAATTTTTATCTTGGAAATATCAATCTAAAAAAGTTTCAGGAGACCTTCCATAGGTCCAGTTCTGCTGTATTTTCTATCTAGTTAGCAACTTTCCCCTCAAACCCATAGTTTAGAAAAGTCTTCTTTTTTGTTTTTTCTTTGTTTGTTGTTTGTTTGGATCCCTGTTACTCTGGATAGTTTTTCAGGGCTGTAGTGCACAAGGGTAAGTTTTCACTTGATCTTTACCCATCTGGTGGGGACTTGTCCATATCAACCAGCTGATATACAACATTCCCTGAAGACTCTTTGAATTTGTATTCCCCCCCCCCCCGGCCTCAATATGAACATTCATAACAGCTGGTATATATGCACATTCACTAGTAAACTTATGGTAAGAAATACGTACGTCATGTTGATCCATTTGGCGGGTGGGGAGCCCAGATCAATAGATGGACCATATTTTTTTTATTAGAATCAACTGGAAATAGTAAACATAGACTTGTCCACAAGAAAAAAAAACAACTCCTTTCCTGTTCACTGCAACTCTTGATTAGGCTACATGGTAAAAAGAGGGGAGGGCAAAAGGAAAAGGCATGGTCGTCCAATATCTGACTGGGTTTTTTCGGCTATGGAGAGTTACAGTTTGTTCCAGGCTGAAAAGTGGGCCTTGATAAGTTAGAGAAGCATGCTGGTGTCACAAGAACTCTGAGAAAGCCACTAGGAACATGCCTCTGGATCTAGAAATGATATCTTCCCAGTGCTATCGGCATGCCTTCTAAACGTATTGTGACTCATAATGTCGGCTTGTTAATTTTACAGATCCGGAATGTGGCAGCCAACCTCTGTGTGGACAGCAAGCATGGAGGGACAGGCACTGAGCTAAGGCTGGACATATGCGTGAAGGATGGCTCAGAACGGACGTGGTCCCATGAGCAGGTACTTGAATAGTCATGTAATAGTTGTTTTCTCCTCGAAGTTCTGAAACATTTCCACAAACTATTTCCTTTAGTCACCTCTGTCTAAGTTAAAGCATATACCTCTTCTTGTGTTGAGAACACTTGAGCTTTGCTGGGAATAAATGGGCTAGAAAACTCAAATATTGTGTCAAGCAACTCTTTGAGCGTAGACCAAAAAAGCTTCTCACAGTGTTATGAATATTAATAAAGCTGATAAATTCATAGTACATTGTAAAGAGTAGTGTGAAAGAAAAATACTGTGTTGGAATTGAGGGGAAACGGTAGGTTACAACTGACAGAAGAATCTCATCCCTAACTGTTGCCAGACCTAGAAAACAGCTGATCTCTGTCCAATATTTTCCTATAACATAGAATGAAATAATGCAACCTGCACATTGCCTGGGCCAGTTGTAATTTAGGCTAAGTCAGATAACTACTTCAGGCAGCAGAGTTTGGGCATCTTGAAAGAGGAGCAAACTTTTGGGGGAGGGGTGCAAACCAGGATGCTGTTGCTTTACAGAGTCCCTTAAGAGCAATTTGCACAACTGGTGGGAGGCAGTTTCCCCTGGCTGTGCACTCAGTCGTGTAACAGGGCACCAGACTGGCAACTGGCAAGCTGTGAAACCCACTCACACAGTTGCCTTTATGTACAGTATGTCCCAGTAGGATATTGGCCTCATCATTTAGTTAATTGTTGGTGTTTCAGTACTATGGCTGGATAGCTCTGTGTTTTAGGCACCTGCCTGCAGAGCCAGAGGTTGAGAGTTCAATTCCCCGCTGGAGAAAAACCAGCCTGTATGGCCTTGGGCAAGCTGCACAGTCCCAGGATGCCCCCAGAAGAAGGGAAGGGGTTTTCTCTACCTAGAAAACCCTGGAAAGGGTCACCATAAATTAGAATCAACTCAACAGTTCATCATCATCATCATCATCATCGTTGTTGTTGTTGTTGTTGTTGTTGTGTGTAGAGGAGGCCACCATTGGCTGTTCTGTGGTTGTTGTTGTTGTTTGTTTGTTGTTGTTGTTGTTGTTGGCTTGTGTGTAGAGGAGGGCACCATTGGCTGTTCTGCACCAGGTTGCAAAATGTCTTGGGCCAGCGCTGCAAGTCGCAGCTATATGCTCACCAGCATTGTCTCCTCAGTATCATTCAGGCTCATCAATACTGTCAAAAGAGACTCTGTGTTGCAGTCTCTGTCTTCATGTATTGTTTGTTTGTTGTTGTTGTTGTTGTTGGCTTGTGTGTAGAGGAGGGCACCATTGGCTGTTCTGCACCAGGTTGCAAAATGTCTTGGGCCAGCGCTGCAAGTCGCAGCTATATGCTCACCAGCATTGTCTCCTCAGTATCATTCAGGCTCATCAATACTGTCAAAAGAGACTCTGTGTTGCAGTCTCTGTCTTCATGTATTTGAACATGAACCATCATCCAACATATTCAGGAGAGGAAGGGGAGATCAGGAACATTTCATTTACAAAAACTGCTGTGTAAAATAGCACGACCACGTATCTCACCTATTATCTCTTGCTAAGACCACCAAATAGGTGAGATCTTCTTGTAAAATCTGAACTTTAAAAAAATTGCTAAGACCACCAAATAGGTGAGATCTTGTAAAATCTGAACTTTAAAAAATATCGGAAAGGGAAAGCAATATTTCAAAATGATATCCAGGTCCACTTATTGCCATCCTGGAATACCAGGGAAAGCTCTTTAGGTACGAGGAAGGAATGAACCAACGCTTATTATTAGTATTAATAATAAAAAGATCTTAGGCAGTGTTTTTTTTTTACTGAACATCTTGACTCAAGAAAAGTTCTAGAGAACTCAAAAGATCATAGAATCATAAAATAGTAAAGTTGAAAGGGGCCTATAAGGCCATCAAGTCCAACAGCCTCCTCGATGCATGAATACAAATCAAAGGATAACTGCCAGTTGGTTGGCTAAGGTTCTTCTGAATGTCTCCAGTGTTGGAACATTCACCACCTCTCGAGGTAATTGGCTCCACTCACTATTTTTGGTGACATTTACGGTGTTCTTAATAGAACTACTATTCCTATTAATATTATTTTAAAATAGTATTATTGCTGTGATTTTGTGCATTTGCTTGATTTTTCCTATGGGGCCTGCATGCACAACTGTGTGCAAGCTTTACTTGAAATCTGAAGTTCTCAAAACCGTCGGCAGAGGGCAGTGCTGGATAAGCAAAGGCCAATGCTGGCCCACAACACAAGGCAGTGATATTTTTTTCAGGACATTTTTAAACCCCATCGCCCCAAAAGATGGAAAAGTTATTGAGGATTAAAATAAACTAGAGAATGTGGTGAATAATCCTATTATAAATCAAATTAATATAAAAATAGATAAACACACAATATATTATAACCTGTTTCTATTTTTCAGTACTCAGTACTCTCTGCAGCTGTACACAGCGTACTGAAAGTCATGAAGAAGAAATCCTCTGATCTATGTTTCTGGCGCAAAACAATGCATAATACATGCTGAAGGGGTAAATGGATCAGAATTTTACCAGTGCCAAAAATGACAAGGAAATATAGATTAAAGACAAGGATCTCATGAAATTTTAAGGCTGTACCAGATGTTCAACCACTTTGATTTTTCAAAAGTACTGCTTCTGGAGAGGGAACAGTTTTCCAAAAGAAAAACCACACTATGTGAGAATATTAGTCTGTTTTGAATCTACGCAATGACTCTTTTTCCTCCTCCTCCTCCTGCTGCTGATTAGGTATCATTTTAAGCTGTGTTCAGGGATCACTTATTGATTTATTTTGTATTTACCTTTCTCTTAAGAGCTGACACCCAAGGCAGCTTACAGTATAACTAAAAGCAAGTAAAATGACAAAGCAGTACTTTACAAATATGAAAACGTAATTCATCATATATATCAAAACCAACTTCAGTAAAGCCATTTTAAAACACTACACTTAAAAATAATACTTGCAATCAACAACAACAACAACAACAACAACAACAACAACAACAACAAGAAGAAAAAAGCCTTCGCCAACTTCAGTAAAGCCATTTTAAAACACTGCACTTAAAAATAATAGTTGCAATCAACAACAACAAGAAAAAAGCCTTCATTCTTCTCCGTCAGTTGATTGCTGAAGGTCCACATATATAGAAGGTCTTTGTGTGCTGGCTGAAGGATTTTAGGGAGGTGGCAATACTAGCTTCCCTTGCCGGAGAGTTCCAGATGCTAGAGCAGCCACTGAGAAGGCCCTTTCTTGTGTTCTTATCAAATGTACCTTTGAGGGTAGCAGGACTGCCTCTCCAGATCTCAAAGACCAGGCAGACTTGTATGGGAGAGCATGGACTGGACTGAAGTCGTGTGGGACCTTGTGGAAAAGCAATAGCCTGTTGCCATGTTCTCTGGAACTTACAAAGAATTGCAAATCCAAAAAAGTAACTTTTCTAATCTCCAATAAAGAGGACATTGCCAGAATGCCCATCAGATTTAAGCAGAGAGCTGTAACAAGCAGTATCAGCACTCAGGGCAAACGGCACCATTTCTCCCTCTGTGCCCTGAGGCATGATTGCATGCAAAAAGGGGGGGAAGAGAATGTAGTATTGGAGGAAGAGGAGGTGGAGGTTGAAATCCTGCTTGTAGCATAAGCCAAGTCATAGTTTTCAGTCAGTGTTCAGCATTCAAGGCTTCTCAACTCCTTTTGACACCTGTGACAGAAAATCTCACAACTGCCACTCCCTGGAAATAAGAATACAATGATAATATGCCAATTTGCTGCCCAATTGTGACTGTCTGCCTAATGGTAGGGCCCCTCCTGGTCAGATTTGGTTACATATTGACACTGTACAAGGCAAACAATGAGGCCTTCGGGAAATATTGCCTTCACCCTCAACAGGCAAATGACTTCATCATCCAAACATTACCAAATTCTACAGAAAATGCTTGTCAAAATCTCTTCACAGCTACTTTTTAATTCAGTGCTCATTTAGGGAGAAATAGAGCACCTATTTCTGGGTGTGTTTGACTGTAAGTCTGTTCCATTCCGTTTCCTGTGAATTCTTGTTAAAGTACACATGTTTGCGTTTAAACGATACACTTTCCCCCTAAAAAGCACATTTTGAATGGAATTCTCCATCCCAAAAGGTAACCTAATACATTTTTTCAAGTCAGGTACTGCATTGTAAAAAGTGGAAATGTGTACTACCTGAAACAGAATTGTATTCAAATTCATTCATTAATTCATTAATTCATTAATTCATTAATTCATTCATTCATTCATTCATTCATTTATTCATTTATTCATTTATTTATTTATTTGTTTGTTTGTTTATTTATTTATATCCCGCCTATCTGGTCATTGTGACCACTCTAGGCGGCTTACAACACATAACACAGCGATAAATATAAAAAGGAATTATTACACTAAATAGAAATTCTTCAAGATGGAAAAAATGAAAAATAAACCATAAAAAAGAGAAAGGGGGAGAGTCAGAGATTAACTGGAGGTAAGGCCTGCCTAAACATCCATGTTTTTAGTTGGTTTTTGAAAATACCCAGCGAGGGAGCCGCGCGAATCTCCGGAGGCAGATTGTTCCAGATTCACACATTAGTCTGGGAAGTGTAAATTAGATAAGCTCAATTTAAAACATAGGCTAGTAGATGAAACTCTTCTGCTGATGTTCTGTAAGTTTAAAAATGCTTCAAAGCTATGTTATGCAGATAAATGTCTTACAGGATATAATACATTTAGCACCTTTAGCACTGAGCATTTCATCTGATCATCCTTACTATAAGGTGATAGGCAGAAACAAGTTCAATGCTAATGGTGCTGACTGGGATCCGTGAAGTTACACTTTAAAGTGTCACCTTCCCATTCTCAAACGCAGGCCAAATACTGGGTGGAATCCAGTATTAAGCCACAACTAGAGCAGGCCCATTGAATCAATAAAACTTATATATCAGAGTAGGCAAATCACCACTGATTCAAGGAGTCTACTTTATT